ACACAGCTGTACACACTTTGTGGGTTTTGTTTGTTTTTAAGTCTTGTTATGTAGCTGATCTTGAACTTTTGATTTTCTTGCCTCAACCTTCTATGTGCTGGGAACATGCCACTGGTTGTTCTTTGTTTAGATATTTTAACCCATAGAACTTTAAGGGAATCTTTCTTTGGTACTAGTATTCATTTTAAAGCCTGTTTGTCTGATAGGAAGATCAGCTGGCCCATATCCAATGAAAACGCAGGCTGTAGTCATAGCTTATTTGCTTGCCAAAGAGTCAATAGAACTGTTGCTGCTAGCTACACAGCCAAAACAGATCACATCGTTAGTGAATTCACTACCTCGGGGTAAAGGTGGAACAGGCAAGGCCTGCGTGTGGAGAGGACTTGTCTTTAGATGTGATGAGTTAGGTAATTTCACAGTTCAGCTTTGGGGCTGCCACTCATTTGTGAGACTTAAAGTTGTATAGATTAAGGCAGATAGATGCAGTGGGTTAGGATAGGGCTAGGCTATGGCCATAGTGTCTCTTCTAGAACAAACTGCCATGCTCTAATTCCATGTTTTCAGGTGAGTGTTTAGGCAGAGCGAAAGTTACCTCTAGGCTGCTGAAGCTAGGGGTGTGCTTTGTCATATTTGATTTCTTTTCAAGGATGAATTGATCCACGAGTTAAAGCAGACACTAAACGCTATCAAATTAGAAGAAAAAGGAGTTTATGTTCAGGCGTCTACATTAGGCTCTTTGGAAGCTCTTCTTGAATTTCTGAAGACGTCAGAGGTGCCAGTAAGTAACTACTAGTTTTGTAAGCACGTGGTGTCATGATATGCTGCCCTTACCTGCTTCATGCCAGCAAACCTGGACCCTTTCTTACAGTATGCCGGAATCAACATTGGCCCAGTCCATAAAAAGGACGTTATGAAGGCTTCAGTGATGTTGGAACATGATCCACAGTAAGTATTCCTTCTGACTGTCTTCAGGCTGTTAGTGTGACTTACTCCTTCTCACTGAGTGATCTTCGATGTTTCCATGTTTCAGGTATGCAGTAATTCTGGCCTTTGATGTAAGAATCGAGCGGGACGCACAAGAGATGGCTGATAGTTTGGGAGTTAGAATCTTTAGTGCAGAAATTATTTATCATTTATTTGATTCCTTTACAAAATACAGACAAGACTACAAGAAACAGAAACAGGAAGAATTTAAGTAAGTTGATGTTTTTGTTTACTTTGAATCTTTGGTAAGGCACCACATACAAGGAAAGCAGACAACAAAAGTGTGGCTATTTGTGTCCCAACATACTGCATCCTGAAGTGGTATGTTATAACCAGGGGGAAACATCCCAGTGCATGCATGTGTACGTATCTGAGAGGGGGAGAGGCGGGGGACAGAGATGAGGTCCTCTCAGGGACCTTAGTTTATTAAATTTCAATTTGGAGGGCTTGGATCACCTATGTGTAAACTGGGAAATAACGCCAAAGGATTCTGAGGGAGACAAAGCCATTCTTCTGTAGACCTTGCAAGTTTGTGTCCATGCTTCCTGAAGAGTCTGCAGGCCTTTAGCTAGGCTTCCTCCTCCTGGGCTTTTCAGAGTCTCTGTTATTGAGACAAGCAGTATGCGCGAGGAGAGAGGAGTGCTGTAAAGCAGATGCAGAGGGTGGGCTTTGGTGGGATAAGAACCTGAAGCAGATCAGTCGGGTGTGTGTAGTGTGCACAGGCACAACAGTGTCAGGGCATACATCAGAGAACATGGATGGCAAAAGGTTGGAGAAGTGATAGGGCCCTCAGGTTATTAGGCATGGGAATGATTGAGCTTTGGGGACTTCCTTTTTTCTCCCTGCCAAGTTGTATAGTCATGATCACGTCGGGGTTACTCTGGTTCCATGGACCTGTAACCCAGCCGGTAGGGAGTCAGGAGCAGGTGTCCTGTGAGCCGAATTGCACTGTCTAGGAGAGAGTTACCAGAGTTGCTACGGGGCAACACTGCCCTCATATGCTGCCAGCATCGTGACTGACTAGTATAGTAACCTCATGGCCCAGTTTTGGGAAGCAACAGGAATAGGATGAAGAAAATCCTATTGATGGATCACTATAAGCTCTGAAGAAGACTGCCGCGTGACAGACTCGGCATCAAGTTCTGCCCAGGTTGCCAACATCAAGAGATGGCTGGGGCCAAGGCACCATCATTTAATTTGAGTGCAAAGTGTTCGTCATTGTAGCTGTGAGCTGGGTTAGAGCTTGTAGCGCTTATCCAGCAAACCTCACGCCCGTCTGCACTTTTTTTCTGTTTAACGAGTTTGTGAGCTTGAGATGTTTTGTCCTCTCTTTACTTTCAGGCACATAGCAGTATTTCCCTGCAAGATGAAAATCCTCCCTCAGTATATTTTCAATTCCCGAGATCCAATAGTGATAGGGGTCACTGTGGAGGCTGGCCAGGTCAAGCAAGGGACACCCATGTGCGTTCCAAGCAAAAACGTAAGTCCAGGCTGACATCTGTGTTCTCCTTCTGCAACTGTGTGTTGGTTCCATACCTTCTCTAAACAGTGTCACTTCAGTAATTCCTGTCTGCAGTCACCCCTCATGTCTGATGTTTGCTCACTCCATTTGTGGGCCTGGCTAGGCAGATCCATGTTGGAGTCACGGGGAAGAGAGCACCCCTCTTTATGTAACAGTCTAGCTCATTCATTTGGATTTGTCTGTTCCCTCCTCAACAGACTTACTGTAAAGGAACCTACATTTAAACCATGCAGGTCTTGTACACACTATTTCTTTGTAAATGGCTACAACCTCGTGTTCTCCTCCTCCTCCTCCATTTTTGCTGTTTGCTGTAGCGTTTTCTCACATGTCGTGCTTAGTGCTCAGCTGGCCCAGTTGGGCCAGTGGATACTGGTCATGTGTTGCCTGTCGTCTTTGGAGCCCTCATTTTGGGATAGTGGCTTGTTAAGAACTCGCAGTTAGTCCTCTGTTCTTCAGGCTGTCGACTCTGTGAACAAAATAACTCTTGTGCCTTCCACAAGACAGCCAGGCTTCCACCCTTTTTGTCTGTTCAAAGCTTATTTTCAAGCTGCATGGCCGCCTTTCTGACTTAGTTCCATCCTGCCCCAGCCTGAGAGCTTACAGCAGGGTCACAAGTGACACTGAATCAGCAGACAGCCTCAGAACACGGAGAAGCCTTTTGTTTTTGCTGCCATCTGGGAGGCACAGGGTAGATGGAATGAGGACCACCTCACATCCGGCTGTCACAGGTCTCTTTCTCTTGTAGTTTGTTGACATTGGGATAGTAACAAGCATCGAAATAAACCACAAGCAGGTGGATGTTGCAAAAAAAGGACAAGAGGTCTGTGTCAAAATAGAGCCTATCCCTGGGGAGTCTCCGAAAATGTTCGGGAGACATTTTGAAGCTACAGACATTCTTGTCAGCAAGGTAAGTATTTTAGCAAAGGTGCCATATTTTCAGAAATTTTCATCCGTTCAGCTCTCTGGTCACCTGTATCAGTAGCTCAGAGAACTGAAGCGTGGATTTGGGAACATAGGTGGCACTTCTGAAAGAGGGTATGTGCCATTGGTGATCCCAGGACTCTGAGCCACAGCTCACAGATGTGGGTTCTGTTCTCTGAAGGAGGCTGCAAAGCACAGGCTTTCTTTTGCTTATGTGACAACCTGGGGCCACTGGCTTTCATTGGCACACCCCACCTTTGGCTCACCCTGTTTGTGCCTGGGCTATTGCAGATCAGCCGGCAGTCCATCGATGCACTCAAAGACTGGTTCAGAGATGAAATGCAGAAGAGCGACTGGCAGCTTATTGTGGAGCTGAAGAAAGTATTTGAAATCATCTAACTTTTCCACATGGGACAGAATTTGGAGTAAATGTAATATTATGTTGTGATATTACCAACAAAACAGACATTTGGATACTGATGGACTTAGGTGTATAAAATGTTTTCCATGATAAACCAAGCAACTTACACTGGTTTGACAGTGGTCACTTCCCCGCCCCACAGTCCAGCGTGCCTGCACTCACCGTCCCTTCCCTCAAGACTTGGCTGCTGTTTTAAAGTTTGCCCTTCCTCAAATTTGGATTTTTATTACAAATCTAAATCTTTCAATTTTATACTGATTAAATCAGTCCTGCAGTATTTGATTAACCAAGCTTTTATGGGTTTTGTGATTCTTGGGACTCTTTTGATATAACAATCATCTCTATGGGTATTCTTTCCACGGTGACTTCCTGCACTCCCATTCCTAGCATTCTTCTGCCATATGCCCTTTGGGAGATAGGCATCATGTTGTTTTCTTCTCTGCTTTCTGCACAACCAAGATGTGAAGGATGGCTGGCTGCCATTCACTGCTTGCACTAGTCGTGAGAGCTCACTGTAATCAAACTGCCAACAGAGAGGAGACACTGCAGTCGAGTGAACTCTGCTGCGCTTCCATGTTAGCACAGCTCCCCCCAGCTAACCTTTTTACCCTAGGAGAGGCATTTTCCATTGGTTAATTTCGGTCTATTTTGTTTAGTACATTCCATCACTTTGTGGCAGTAAATTATTGGAGGTCACTGCTTGCTCACAGTGATTTAAAGTCTCATGACTGTACCTCATTGTAGTTAACCCTGAGGAATGTGAGTCTTAACTGATCCACCAACATCCAACTGATCCACCAACATCCTTTGGAGAAACTTGTTGGGTCGTTGTAGGAATTTCAAGTGTTATGGCACAACACACACATACATACATGAGAGTATGTATGCTTGAAAATCTTATTTTTAGCTATTCAATATTCTCAACACTGTCTTGGACATAATTTGTTTCAGTCCCAGGCCAGAATTTTAGTAGTTTTCCAGGTTCGGAGCACTATTAAAATCCTGTCCTGGGATTGCTCAGCAATTCCAAAGCCTTTGTACATAGACCCGGTGGCAAGGTGACCTGGAGGTTTTCAGCCCTTTAAGTATATATAAATTGTTGCTAGTTCCTATGGCTGAGTTTAAGAATTACACAAAAAAAAAAAGCCTGTACAAAATATACATACAGTTCTTTATTAAACAACTGTAAACACTTCACTGTAAAAATCCATAAAACTTTATAAACAAACATTTTGTAAATAGAATCTATGCTACAAGTAAAAGAATTAACACAATTATTTACATGCAATACTGACAAATTTGGCACTTTTTGAAAAGAAATGTACAAAACACTTGCTTAAAAACAAATCTGAAATTATAAAAACTCAGAGCATCACTATCATGCACTTTGCAAATACCTCACAAGCGCTGCTGGCACAGCTGGCAGAGAGCACCAGGCTCTCTGGACATTTAGGTAACTTTCAGTGTGCTTCCGTAAGTCTGTTGTAAAACCACCTGAACATTGTCAAGAATAAAGTCAAATGCCATGTTCCACACCGACTCCACCGACTGCTGCATCAACCTGAAGGTGAGAACAAAGCTTCATTTAGAGAAAGCGCCAACACATTTTTATCTACCATCTCAGTTTTAATTAAAGGCCACCGAACTAAAACCGAGTCTTAAGATAAAGCTGGCTTTGGATTAAATAAAGACCTAGAGCCCCCAGAAGTAGTTCATGTTTTCTTGAAATTAGATAGATAGGTCCTTAACTTACTACCCATTTCAATTGATTCTTTCAGTAAAATTACCTTTTCATGTATTTTATAACTAGATCCAACTTTTCCAAATCTTTTTCCTCTATAAGGTCAGTGCAGTATTTCACAACTTGCAGAATGTCTTCTTCCATTGGATCTAGAAAGGAAGAAAACCTAAGATGAGGACCCCAGTATCTTTTGGAGAAATCTGAAGTTAGCTATATTCTGATTTACAGCTATCAAAGCAAGCCTTACAACTTAAAAGACTGGAGGTAACTGGTGAGAACATTATTGTTAGAAAAGTAGGCTACATCTGTTGTGGTTGGGTCAGGGTCTTGAATTAAGGAACAACCCTGCAAACCTGAGATGGTAGTTATCCATTCTTTGAGCAAGGTCTTCACGTCACTGAATTCCACAGCTCCAGCTAAGTTGGGTGCTGCTGGTCTAACACAACTTGTTTGGCTGGGCTGTAAGCTAGAGGGGTTCTGCACACCAGGGGTGGAGAATTCTTCCTGTTAAAAAGAGCAAAAATATTGTCATTAAAATCTAACAAAGGCCACTCTTTATTAGATTTTAGTGTTTTTTTAAAAACATTTTTTCTGTTTACCAGGGGTCTCTCAGATGTCATTCCTTCATGTTTTAGAAAGCCATCTATTAACTTCTGGGGACTGCCATAGGCCCCTGGCAGAGGTTTCGCAGGACTGCTCAGCAGCTTATTTTTCAAAGGACTCTGAATCTTTCTGGGAGAACCAATGGGGTTCTTCTTGTTTCTCTTGTCTTTCGCTGTGGGTGGCTTTAGCTGAAGTAAAGGATTCTTCGGCACTGAAAGAAGAGGTATGAGATCCTCAGAATACTCGAGATAATACCACACAGGCTCTCTGTCCTTCCAGCCCAGCTGCAGACTTGGTGTTCTGACCTTGGCCATGCTGCTTGTGTGCAATGGCTGGTCCTAAGGACTAAAACTTTCTTTCAGCAAGGACGCAGGCTTGATAAATGTGTGTTCAGGGACTTGTTTCCAGATCTTGTGATCTGAACCCACATTCTTTCAAATAGCAGTCTCAAAGGACAAGTAGCTAGACATGTATCCAAAATGCTGTGAGTGTGCTGAGATTGGCCCAGGCAGTAACCAGCAAGCATCGTGAAACACTGCCTGCTGATCTGACCTCTTCAGTCAGTAGGATGAAGGGTCAGCACTGACCCAATGGCAGCATCACTCTATTACCTCTGTGACCTGTCAGTCTGACTCACCCGGTGCACAGGCTGTCTGCTGAGGAGCAGTGTCCTCTCCCTGCCGCTGTCTTTGATCATAGGCTGCTTTCAGCTCTCTTTGAAGCTCAGCAGGAAGGGCAGCGAAGACGTCGGGGTCCACCTAATAGGAAGGAAAGCCACACTCAAGTTAGTTCTAGGTGGCATTAACAGGTCCTGAAGAGCAAAGCATGGAGAAAAGGCCTTTCAAGAAACCCTGGAAGCGGGTACTCAGATCTGTGTGATGTCAGAACAACAGACCTAGTTACAACATGGTTAAGCCAAGAGCAAGTACATAGTTCGGGTTACTCTCCTCTGCATCTTCACCCTACTGAGGCGCTCTAGTGAGCGCATGGGCCAATAAAGAGGGCAAGAGAATGTGTGTGCTTGTTTCTTCCAGACATGGTAGGCACCTATACACCTTGCCCTGCTTTCCACTTCTCTTCCTCTGGTGCTGGCTTGCCAACTTTACAAGTTCGAGGGGCCAACCAATGTTCTTGATATATGCAGTACAGAGGAATGGAACAGGAGAATTGAGCTAAAGTGGTGAGAGGACACTGGTCCTAACATGGACTGACTTACTTGTGAAAATGCTGGAAGGGCTATAACATTGATTCCTGCGTCGCTATTAGGTTCTTGAGACTCTGGTATTTTCAACAAAACTGTGCCAACAGGATGTGGCAATACCCCTGAACTGCAACCATTTACTGGTTCATTCCTCTTGGTGTCACGCGGCTCTCCTTGTTGAGCAGCACAAGCTTGTTCTATTTGTTCCCGGAGATCAGGGGGGAGTGCTTCTAAAACAGACTGATCAATCTGTAAAACCAAATGTGAACCAGATGCTCAGAAATAAAGGTTTGAGGAACAACAGAACAGACCAGCAGCTACCAAGTCTGAGGGGAGTGCATTTCAAGTCTGAAGGGGAGTGTACTTCAGGAGCCAGCAGTGTCCACACAAGGGGGTCTACATACTTACAGATGCCTTGCAGTGAGAACTGAGCCAGGAAAGGGAACATCAACAAAATTAACTTTTCAGATGGGAGACCTTCACAAATATAATTACTGTATACTGTATAGTTAAAGGTGAGCATAGAAGCATTAGAGAGCTGCTTGTCACCAAAACTCAAGTGTGAGAGCTGCCCCCTTTCCCTAGATCTGCAGGCAGCATTTGCATCTCCTTTAGCTTTTCTCCACCGAAGGACAGAAGTAGAAAAGGTGATGGGGTGCACATGACAAAGAACAAAAGCACCAGGACTAACTGGCAGACGAGGGGCGTAAGCAAGAACAGCACAATGACACATGAAGGTGGCTCTGTATGCCAACCTACAAAGTAAAGAATACGATTTTCATTTAAGCCAGTTTTGTACTTAATACCTCAAAACATACCTGGGATGGTGATGGGACCTCGATACTCAGGTTAAGTCTTGACTGTCCACTGATGGGAGAGTGTAGACCTTTCCATTTCCTTGAACACTGATCTCTGTTAGTGTCAGGACTGATACTAGCTGCCAGATGAGCAGAAAGGGGCGACAATAAACTGCAAGGTCTAGAGGTGGAGGATACATCCAGATCCTCAGCAGCTAGAAATACTACAATTTTAGAAAAAACAACCACAGCCTCGTTAGTTTCCCCATTCACCAAATTCCCAATTCCTTGCATAGTTTTAGGCTAATAATTTAGAATGTAATTTTACTTCTTAAAAATTAAAATGCACAGGCTCATGTTGATGGTAAGCTTTTATTCCCAGGGGACTTAGTGGGACAGAAATGAGCTGCACACGAGTGGCTACCCACCTTCCTTGTGCTCCTCTTCGGTGGGTTTCCTAGCTTTCTGAACTTGGAAGAGATCAAGGATAGACTGCGGCCGCCCAGGAAAGAGGCCTGGCTGAACTGATGGGCGACTTGAACATGTGGAAGGATTTGGATTAGTAGGAATCAACTGATTCACCTGAATACCAACCTAGAGCCAAAATAAAGAGAATGTTTCTAAAAAAAAAAAAAAAAAAGAAAAAGAAAAAAACCCAAAGTGAAAGTAAGATTTCAACTAAGTAAAATTGTCAGTTAATCTTCTGGCACTACCACCTAGATCCTGTTTCTGTAATAAAGAAGTGAACGAAACTTTATCTTCTGAGTACTGGATTCACCCAAACACGGTTAAGACTTTCAAAATCAGATAGCCAGACAAGTGAATTTCGGGATTCCACAAGTTTTCTGGTTGGCTAATGATTAGAGGGGGGAGGATGTGACCCTTAAGTGTGGAGATCCTGTGACAACCTGCCTTGGTGGCAAAGTGTACCTGTACCTGTGCACCAGCGCCAACTGAGGCTTTAAACAGGATCTGTCTTTAAGGGTAGCAGACTGGGTGTAGCTACGTGCTACACGTATTTATTTGGCATGACCAAGGTTTAACCTCTCCCTACGAGAGCAACTACAGAGCTGGGGCAATAGCTCAGTGATAAAGGTGCTTGCCCAGTGCTTGTAATGTGGAGGGCAGAAAATATAATATTCTATGCAGAAAACAAAATATTTCTAACAAATATAACCTGTGAAAACTAAGATTAGATTAGGTTTGATAGGACGTGCTACCTCCCTCCTGGGACTGCACTGAAGAAGCTGAAGACATGCATGTCAGAACCAAGCTCAGATACAGCCCCGGCTTCATGCTACACAAAGAAGGCTCCAGTGTAATACTTACCCCTCTCATATCCGATATATTTAGTTTCATTGTATGAAACATGTTTAAAATCGCTTTTCCAATTACTTTTGCACTATCTGTTGCCTGGTCCAGAGTTACAGTCCTGTAAGTATTAGAATTACTTTCTTAAGAAACATTCCATATATACTCACTAAAAAAATCATAGAAACATTGGAAGGAGTTACTAAGTTTATAAATATGAATGGAATAATCGCCCATTCTTTAAGCCAATTCCACCACCCACAAAGCTAGAAAACATATTCATAGCACTGATACTTTAAACAGCATGAAGACTTGATAAACCAAAAGTTGACAAATTTAGGAAAATGAAACTTAGTTGATGCACATAAAAATTATACAGTGTTGCAAATTGCAAGAATAGTTGGATCCCAAGGGAAGTTTTACTTTAAATGATACTGAGATAACAAATAATATCCAGAGGAGAAATGAATCAACTGTTTTTTAAGGTTTGTGGCTGAAGCAATGGCTCAGTGGTTACACACTTGCTTTTGCAAAGGACTGCAGTTCGGTTTGCAGGGAGTCTGACACACTCTTCTGGCCTCCGCAGCACTGTGCATGTGTGCACACCCACACACAGGAAAGCAGCTACTCTTAACTACTGAACCTTCTCTCTAGACTATTATATTTAAAGAAAAGTCACAGAATATTTCCAACATTAAATATCTTCACTCCAATGATACTTTTTCTTCAGAACCTTTATAAATTCATAAAAAGTATACGTAGTTACTGTGGCAAACACTATTGTAGCCTGACGTAAACCTTTGCCAAAGACAACGGAGACTGGCTCTGTAAGGAAAGCCTGTTGTGTGGCGACATCCTCACACCGTTGGGGCCATTGGGAATTCTTTTGCATTGAGCACAGTGGCCCCTCACAAACAAAATCACACCATCACATCACCCCCAGAAACACACAGTAAACTGGACCTGGTTCTTGCCTCCCTCCTCTCCCACTTGCCCCAAAGAAAAAACTATGTTTAACCAATTTCATATAGAAATATCCACTGTTGCATTTAATCTCTATATGGCATAACTGTAAACCATACTTAGAACATTTATAAACTGTTTTACTTTCCCTGTTTCATAATGCTTTCAATAACAGAACGAATGTTACAATAGAATAAGCAACTTATGTTTGACAAGATCTAATCTTTACTGAAAACATTATCATCCTTATTTATGGTTTCAGTGTTAAAGATCTGGCTTGTCAGATGGAGTGCAGTTGGCTGAATAGAAGACACACTAAAAAAATGTGGTGTCATGTTGATCACAAATCACACATGAACTCTAACATTAAGTGATGGACAAATCAAACATCAGGGCTTTAAAGAAAAGCTTTCTATGGGTTTCAGAGACAATTCTGATTGCTCTGAGATTTACTGACAGAAATCTGGAACGTCTCATTTAAGCTTTCCACAAACCATATCAGTCCCCTTAGCTTGCGAACATGCAGCCCTTTTCCTTTCTACACACAAGTTCACAGCCAGGAGCCCCTAAAATGAGCCTCAGGCTGCCACCTGACTGATTTGAAATGTGGTCTGTCTAGCTAGTCATGTTGGAAGTTTGGTGCTCAGTTTGGTGGCAATGATTTGGACCTAAAGAGAAGGACAAGAATGTACTGGGTCAGTGCTCTAGGAAATAATGATGTCATAGGCACTTGGGTAGAGAAGGCTGTTACACAGAGCAAACCTGGCCCTCGAGACACCTGTCTGGATTCCTGTCTCACAGTGTGACTGTTATCTGGTCTGTGTTCTTGCCACTGTGATGTGCTGGCTGGCAGACAGCGGGAGGATTCAAGCAGTACCAGCTTCATCAGCCAGGAACACAAACTAAATAAATCTTTAAAAAATATCTGTCAGTCTGCAGTATTTTGCACTTGGCACTATACCTAAGTCAACCTACTATGGGCTTGTGGCCTGGCTCTATAGGATATTTAACAGCAGCAGTTTTGGTAAATTTTAACTAAAACTATTACTACTGATTTTATTTTGTATGGTTTATAATAACTTGCACAGAATATAACTTAACTCTTGACATTTTTTTAAAGAAAAAGTTTACCTGGCAATGTTATCACAAATTCCATGGCCTCCAAATTTTGCAGTTTCTACAGGGGCCCCTGGCTTCCGCACCATAACTTTCAGAGTCAGGCGTTTGCCCTTCATGCTAGCAGCTTCAAGTCGCCTTTGAATTTCTTCTGAAAGACTCAAAAGGAAAGCTTCTGCCTCTTTTGGCTACAGAAAGACAAAGATGAAAAGACACCCCCATATTATTTTCTTTAACCTGACAGCTCTTCTCTGAATACTGAACATGTTATTTCCTGTCGTAGCAACTTAAGAGAAACACTGTGCACACGGAGCTCACACGCTCATCTCTCAGTGTGCTGAGTATTCTGTAAGGCATCTTCCTTTCTTGCAGTAGAATTATTGCAACACAAGTATGCTATCACTGACCTGTTACAATCCTTAAATTCTCTGATAAAAATGTGAATGCCAACACTCCACCAAATTCCTACATGGTAGTTCCAAGAAGCATGAGCTCGTCAGCTTTCAAATCCTCATGATGTGCGGTTACGAGAACAGCAGTTCTCAGTCCGTGGGTCGTGATTCCTTAGGGGGTTAAACGACTCTTTCACAGGGGTCACCTACGACCATCCAGAACCACAGATATTTACCTAATGACTTATAACGGTGGCAAAATTACAGTTATGAAGTAGCAATGAAAATGGTTTTGTGTTGAAGGTCCCCAAAACATAAAAAACTGTTTTAAAGGGTCACAGCATTAGGAGGGTTCAGAACCACTGCTCTACAGGCATGAAAAATTGAAGTAAAGGAGACCAATTTTTAAGTATAGTTTAAAAACACATTTTACCACTAAAAATATTTGTTGAACCTCTTCCTCCTCATTGGTAACGAGAATAATTGAATTAGTAGCTTTAGACCCCAAAGCAGAGTATTTTCCTTAAGACCTAGGTTTTTAAAATTGGGACCTACCTTAAAAGTCACCACGGCTCTGCAAATCCAACAGTTTATTTCAACCACCAAGAGTTCGAGAGCTTAGAAACAAGACTGTGTAAAGGCAAGCTACCTGGGAGAACCTGATTCCGTAGTTGATCTCAGCGGACACGGATTTCCTTTCCTTCTCTGGTCTAACTGGTCTGTCATCCAAACCACGGCAGAACCTATACAGCATCTGACCTGTTTTGGGACCAAATTCTTTCTGGAGTTTGGCCATGGTCATGCACTGCAAATCTCCACAGGTTTTAATTCCCAAAGATGCCAGCTTAAACTCCATTGAACGTCCAACTCCTAGGAAAAGGAATATGTACACAGTTGTTGAGAAACTATTAAAAATCTTGGCTGTTCATTTATTTACATGCAAAATTAAAACTTAAGTTTCATACAAAAATAATTTTTCGAATAATATCAAGATTACGATCTTATTCATGAATCAGTAAATAATAGGCTCTTGCTTAACAATTTTTGTTCTGAACCTATAGCCCAGATACAAACACTACCAGGCAGGGTAGAACTGTGCTGTCCATGATGGTTTCACCACATTTACTCTGGGCTAGAACTAGAACAGGAACTGATGACAAACGCTGCAACAATGACACTGGGACTGAGGCTGCTAAGCAAGAAAGGCTGGTGTGGTACAGGAGGAAGACCTATTTTATCAAAAGCTAACTGGCCATCTTGAAGAGGTGACATAATCCTTCCTACAACTGGGCCAGCACAGCAGTCTCCACGACCTCCAATATAAGGCGCACAAAGTTTCAATGCTACCCAGGACATTGATGAGCTCTGCTGCCCTAAACCATATCCAAGACATTAAAAAAAGATAAACAGGCAGGTGCCATGGCTCACACCTGTAATCCCACCACTCAAGGAGACAGAGGCAGACTGATCTCTGTGAGTTCGAGGCCAGCCTGGGCTACAAAGCAAGCCCAGGACAGCCAGGGCTACAGAGAAACCCTGTCTTGAAAAACCAAAACAAACATTTGAGAAAACAGTTTAGAGTAACTTAAGTAAACTATAATTCTTGTTTAAATGACTTTAGAACATAAAACAGTTACCAGCAGTGAAAAACATGTATCTGTGTCATTTTGTATGTTATCAAAAAAGAGCAAAGTCTGCTTCTCTCTTGTTCAGTGTGCTCATGTACATTTTGCTTCTATCCTGAGCAGTCTCCAGTGTCAAGAGGCACCCCATGCGCTGCCAGGAGAACCGCTGGATACAGCAAATAGGACATGGTGAGGAGTTGGCAAACTTTCAAAGCATCTCTGGCATCAAAGTAGACCAGACATGTTTGAACCGTGAGAATCTCTATCAGTGGTTCTCAGCCTTCTCAATGCTTCACCCTTTTAATCCATTCCTCAGATTGTGGTGACCCCCAACCATAAAATTATTTTTATTGTTACTTCATAGCTGTAATCTGGTACTGTTATGAATCATCATGTAACATTTTTTGCCACAGCGATTGTGACCCACAGGTTGAGAACCGGTAATCTGTAGCCTAGTGGGAAGGGTGCTGGCTCCCACTTGTGCCATTTACAGTCCACGTCGGAACAAAGGGCGGGCAGGAGGCAACACTGACCCCGCATTGTGCGGATGTGCATGTGGCAGTGTGGGAAATGGAGTGCTTCAGAAGGGTCTCGAGGGGAGATCTCATCCACTGCCAGGTACAAACAATACTTGTTTTAAAAAATCCCCAAAGCAAGCACACTCAACCTGATCTAATGAAACCACTGTCTGAGGAGAAAGGAAAGCTGGTCTACATGGAAAGCTGGTCTGGTAGAATGGAATCGTCCTGCAGTGGAGGTCAGAGGAAATGATACAACTCCAAGACAGGACCAAAATGGTTGCTAATTCAATGCAGTGCAGCTCAGAGTTCAGAGGGAAAAGGGGCATCTGTATGAAGAAAGTAAACAGGGCCGAAGACCTAACTAGCACAGCCAACCAAGAAGACAAGACAGAAGGGGAATGTGCTGGCTCTGAATGTACTGTCTAAGAAGTGTGAAGCTATGGAAGCCCCAGGTCAAGCAGCTGGGGCATGATGGACAATGATCCCTACCCACACAGACAGACCTTTGCCAGGAGCCACTGAGGCGGGGCAGATCAGTAAGCATGTCAGCTCTCTGGAAGGTAGGCCAGTACTTTGCAAGGTCTGTACCATGATGCATGCCCAGAATTGATTCCAGCCTCTGACACCCCTTCTTTCTGTGCTATTGCTTCTATCAAAAATCTGGAAGAGTATGAACCCTCACTTTCTGGGTATTTACCATTCTGACTGAGCAATCTATCTATGGGATCTTTATGATGCTGCACTACTATTCAGATGAATTAATTCCTGATTATAGAATGCCTGACTTGATTCGAACAATTTTAGAAGTTAGAAAGTTTACAGATGCAGTAAATACTTTGGTGGACCTACAGATGCCTCACCAGGAGACAGGCTTGAGGCTTCAAATAAGCTTTCTCTCTAGAGATACCATACAAATCCTGGTACCCACCATAAACAGAGGCAAGCTGGTTTGAACTCATGAACCCAGAATATAAGAGGGCTACCAAGAAATGTCTAACTTAAGTGCAAATCTTAATGTTAAATATACAAACTCTTTTGTTGTAATTCTGTACACCTTGTCAGCTTATGGCATAATATACTGTCATTCTAAATTTACTTTGTATCTTCATATGAAAGGCAGATAAAATTACTGTCCTGAATTCACTATAAACTAAGAGATAGCTGGAGAATGGGTAGCCAGGTCAGTCCTACCTGAAAAGACATACATTGTAACCTCTTGGACCCTGCTAAAACCTTTAGGCATTATCAACCTTTGTCATTCTGAACTTGCTATGAACTTATGCAATGGATATATAGATAAGAAATGTTTAGTTTTAGTGAAAAATCATGTAACCTGTTATATTTTCGAATTTCATTTGTTTTTGTGATTAACTGCCTTTCTGACTATGAGGTAATTCCTTCTGTGACAGAGAGCTTTGTCTCAGAAGTACAAAATTGTGACCAGACCATCCACCTTTTCCTCTTGAATGCTTGTGTGTGGAAGTGGTCGATTTTCTATGTCTCTCTTTCCTTATTCCCCTATAGATTCACAAACAAGTTAACAGACTCAGGGCTCTGCCATCAGTAGGCATGTATTAGCCTATCAGAGATTTCTGCAAAGAGCATTATCTACACATCAAAGAGACTCCTTTTACAATCCCATGAAGTTTTGGGCTAGAAGCAGTTTGGGGCTAGAAGCCTCTTCCCAGCCCTGGGTGCAGGAAAAAACAAAACAAAACAAAACAAAAAACTGGTCAGTTTAAGTTTTCCTCCTTAGCTACAGTGCAGGCAGTCCCGAACTGCTAGAGAAGGAATCCTGGGCTCCCTTCCCTTTTTCTTGTTCTTTCAATCTTCTATGTGATCAGTTTCCTGAGCCATCAGCTCGGCAAACCAAGAGATAAAGTAAAAGCTGAATCTGTGTCCTGTTCAAAGATTTTCCTTGGACCCCCAAAGCCAAACCTTGGCAGACCGTGGCAGTCCACTTTATATAGGAGAGAAAAACGTCAAAGAACGTCTTTGTCATCCACATTAAGGGTGTGCAATGAAATGTCAGTGGTGATGGGAATGTGTGTGGCTGTACTGTCCAATGCAGTAGGCACTTGCTCAAGGCTTCTGACTACAGGAAATATGGCCAAGCCAAACGAGAAACCTGTTAATTGTAAATGTTGTGAGGTTGCCGAGCTATTTGAGCAGCTTTGTAACTGTGTAGAGCTAGAAGTCACAAACTAAATGTACAAACCCTCATCCTGACTTTGTGTACAGGGTCCATAACAGAAGATTACACTCCCAGGGCTAACAGCTTTGCAAAGATCCAATGGTCTTTAGTATTGAAAGCACTGCTGGGGACAATCTTTCTTTCACTGGGTAACTACACTGAACTAAGTGATACATTTGTTCACACAACATATCATCCATCACCGGCCAGCATCCAAAAGCAGTGTTGTGCCTTTTCTGCTCACATCCACATCCACTCTGAAACTGCTTACAAGTCTGCAGAGCACACTATATGCCGAGTGGACAGTTAGTGAGAGCACAGGGCTGAAGACAGCTGAGCTGCTATCAATTAATTTATTCTAATTATTAGCTAGAGAGCAAGTTGTCCTGAAAGGTGAGTCACAAGGCAGAAATAAATACTATATTCACCAACAAACATCTCTGGGAAATTACTGGTATTCAGCAGATTAAATAGGACTCTCTATTATATGTTGTTCAGAATTTCTAATGCACAGAGCCCTCAACCAGTTCCCAAAATATATAAAATTCCTCTTTAAAAAGCCGAGCACAGGGCTGAAGCAGTGGCTCAGCAGGAAAGGACACTTGGTCTTCCAAGAAGACAGGGGTTCGGTTCCCACAGGGCAACTCAAAAGCCTGTAACTCCCACTCCAGGGAGTCCACGCCTCTTCCTCTGATCTTCACAGGCAACACAGGTTTGCAGGCAGAACATACAAAACATGCAAGCAAGACACCATGCACATAAAATTTAAAGATGAAATAAGCACTAGGCATGGATGCCATGCCCCTCATCCCGAGAGGTTCAAAAACTTAAGAGTTAATTCCTGGGACTGGGGCAAAATCACAGTCCTTTCAGAGCAGAGGTCCAGCAGCAGTCTCCTGCCCAGATAAAGAGTGTGACTAGGGTCACGTAGGCCCTAAGGAAGCCCATGGAATGTGTTAACTCCCCTCCCCCTTGCTACAGCCTAACCTGCACGTATGGGGTGGGGTGGTCAGGTGTCCCCCAGGTAGCCAGACCTAATCGTTTGCAGTTTTGGCGCCTAAAAACAAACCAATCATTTTAAGGTCAGCTCCCCTAGAGACCCTTTCACCCAATCCTGTAACGCCAAGACCTACACTTCCCTGCTTGCGTTTTGACCTCTTAAAAACCCTGTTCCCCTGGAGTTGGGGGTCGCTTGCCCCTTTGTTCTTGTAAAGGGCTCGAGTTTGTAATAAAGGACCCTCATGTGTTTTATATCGGACTCAAAGCCTGTCGGTCATTTGGGGCCTCACAATCTGGGTATTTCAATCCCAGCGATGTAAAGGGTGGGTGGTAGAGGAAGGTGAGACAGTGGGTCTTGGGAACTCACTGGCTAGACAGCCCAGACAAATGGTATTTTTCAAGGTCAGTGAGAGATTATCTAAGAGAGAGAGAGAAATAGAGGGAGAGAGAGCGCACAGGCCTTAGAAGCAGGAGACCCTCCTGAGACATACATTCCGAAGTATAATTAAAATATATAGAGAATAAAAAATCAACCTTTAAAACCAGTGCTAGGAATCAAACCCATGGGGTCACATAACACCTGTTAAGTGCCCTACCACTTAACACCATCTGCATTTCAGAAGCATCTCAGAACATGTTTCTGACCTTTGTTTTCAGGTTAGAAATATGCCATTTGGTTGTGAGTGAGTGGTGTGGTGATGGTTCACTTGAAAACAGCTCTTGCCTGGAAAGCCTGACAACCTTCTTTCAATCCCCAGAGCCCAAGCTGAAGGAGAGAATTGATTCCCAAAGCTGTCCTCTGACCTCTACAAAGGAGGACACACACACACACACACACACACACACACACACACACACACACACA